GAAGAAAAAGAAGAAGAAGAAGAAGAGGAATAAAGAAAAAAGAAAAAGTTGAAAAGCACGGGGTAAAAAACAAGCCCAGGCAGACAACGTATATACGCTCGTCGAAGCCCCGTGACTCGCGAGATAAGCATCGGAGCGACGTCGCGGATTAATTAATACGTCAAGCGAGAGAGTAGTCGACTCTCGCGCGTCCTCGAAGCGGCCGAGCCGAGTTTCCTTTATTTTCGCGTCAACGCGCTTTTCGCAGAGCGGCTCGCGAGACCGTGTCGCGCGTATAGTGTACAAAAAGTTAAGTGAGTAAAATACAGTGTCGCGAGAGTAAAAGAATAACTAAACTGCTGCTGCTGCTGCTGCTGCTGCTGCTGCTGCTGCTGCATTACGACAAAGACAACTTCTTTTACGCTCTTAAAACTTGCGTCGCGCTCTTATTTTTGCCCTTCGCGTGTTTACATTAAAACACTCGCAGCGCTGCGTTTGAACAGGTGTGTGCGGCCAAGAAGAATAATGATTTCGTAATCTTCTTGTTCTCATGCAAATATCGTTTGCTATTACAAAAATTCGTTTGGAATATGATTTGCAAACGCAATTATAATCGAACGCAAAATAGGATAGTTCTGACCTTATATGCTAAAACTTTGCTTTTTCTCTTTTACTTTTGAAAAGTTCGGCCATGCGCCATCTAGCGGTAACTTATGAACTACAGTTATACTGGATGCTTAAAAATTGCAGTCAATACTCTAGGAATTTGGAACACACTTGCTCAAGCTCAGAATAAATTAATGTTTTGTATTTTTCAATCAAAATGCCCTATTTTTAATGCGAGTATCAAAATATCATATAATAATCACAATATTTCAATTTTTCCTCATAAAGTCACATATCCTTCGAGTAAATATTTCCATGCATCAAACGCAGTGGCGGTTTATGGAGCCGGTCAATCACGCCATAACTTTATTATACTCTTACATCTTTATGTGCCAAATGTTTCTTGTGTGAACTCGATGTTGTCTATCAAAAGTTTATTTAGAAATGTTTATTTTTAAAAGGACGAAAATTCCTCAGAAGAATCGTCACCGAGTTAGAATTTTAAATTGTTTCAAATGTTTTCAGAACAATATATCAACAGATACGTACCTAAATCGTAAACAATATAAGCATAAAGAATTCTGACATCTACCTTCGAAAACTGATCGATCGGGTTCATGGCAAAAACAAATTAGTTTGAATGTTGTTGTTCCCGATGAAACAAGCGATAATAACAAGAGATAAATTTTATTTATTAAGAATTCTGACATCTACCTTCGAAAACTGATCGATCGGGTTCATGGCAAAAACAAATTAGTTTGAATGTTGTTGTTCCCGATGAAACAAGCGATAATAACAAGAGATAAATTTTATTTATTAAATTTCCGTGGTGGATAAAAATGGATAAAAGTGAAAAGAAATCAGAGGAAATCGTTCCAAAAGATAATTTAAGTGAACACGAGATTGTTGTTTCAGGCGACAAACAATATGCTTGTGATATTTGCCAGGAGGCATTTACACAAAAATCGAGTATGATTACACACCGAGATACAATTCACAATGAACAAAAAAATTACGAATGTGACAAGTGCGAACAAAAATTTGAGTTTCGAAGTCATTTGAGTAGGCACCAAATATCAGAACACAGAGTCCACAAAGATTTTGTATGCGACAGCTGCGAGAAGAAATTCAAGAAAAAATCAAGTTTGTCTACGCACCGAAAATTAGTACACAAAAAGCGCGAAAATTTCACATGTAACAAGTGCGAGAGGAAATTTGAAAATGAATCAACATTACTGAAGCATAAAAAAATATTCCATGGAGTTTTCAAAGATTACTTATGTGAAAAGTGTGCCAAGAGATTTGGAAATAAACATAGTTTGCTCATGCATATAAAGACAGTCCATGATAATGTCAAAGATTTCGCGTGCAACAATTGTGAAGAGAAATTTAGAAAAAAATCGCATTTGCTCTTTCATGTGAAGACAGTACATAAAGGTCGGAAAAATGTAGCCTTCAGTCAAGTCTTTAAAGATTACATGTGTGATAAGTGCGAGAAAAAATTTGGAGTAAAATCAAAACTGATTAGACACCAAAAGACAGTTCACGAAGGTCTCAAAGAGCACGCATGTGACAAATGCGATCAGAAATTTGGAGAGAAATGGATTATGATTCAGCACCAAAAAACAGTCCACGAAGGTCGCCAAGACTACGCATGCGAGGAGTGCAAAAAAAAATTTGGACAAAAATGTACCTTACTTTTGCATCAAAGAACAGTCCACGAAGGTCGCAAAGATTACTTATGTGACAAGTGTAAGCAAAAATTTGGAAGAAAATCTCATTTGCTCAGCCATATAGTAATGGTGCATGAGAGACACAAAGATTTCGCATGTGACAAATGCGAGAAAAAATATGCACTAAAATCAGATTTGTTTCGGCACCAAAAAACAGCCCACGAAGGTCGCCTAGATTACGCGTGTAAAAAATGCGAAAAGAAGTTTGGATACAAATCGAGTTTAGTTTTGCACCAAAAGACAGTCCACGAAGGTCGCAAAGATTTTGAATGCGATAAGTGTCTACATAAATTTTCACATAAACAAAATTTGCTCGTCCACCAAAAGACCGTCCACGAAGGTCGTAAAGATTTCACATGCGACAAGTGTGAGAAGAAATTCGGACGAAAATGGATCATGATTCAGCACCAAAAGACGCACGCCACAATTTCGAGAGAAAATGATGATTGACAATTGTAAATATGTATTGATACATAATACAAGTTTTCTTAACATTTTAATAAAAATTGTATCCAAATGAATGCGCATTACCTGAATCTCGGGCGTTCAACTATCATTATCTCTTCATTCACTGTCCTCGTAGTATTTTATTTTTGAACTAGATTTCACGTACTGTACTTATCACTACTCTCAATTCATTTTTTGCTAACTTAATTTTTAGCTCTTTATGCAACCGTCAGAACAGATTTTTTTTCACGTCTTATTTAGAGCTGCGAATAAGCGAGCGTATAACACTTAATTTTTGATAAACCACCATTTTATACCGAAAAAGCCCCAGAGAAAACACTTTTATCAATTTAATTTAAACCAATAAATTGTTTCTACATTTCTTCAAAATTTGTAAAAGTCCACGTAATTTTTTTTTTCTTAGTACTTTTATCAGACGTCTATTAAAAGTACTTAAAATTAACGAATAATTTTTACAGTAGAATTACTACATGCCTAACAAGTGAGACCAAAAAATCCTGAGACGTAAATTGCGAAAGAGCAGTGATGCACAAATTTCAAGCTCACATGATAACGCATCTAACCACAATATCCAAAAGCTTCGGTGAAAAGTTCATGAAAAAAATTTTCAGATCTGATAGCGTGCCACGAGTTGCATCAAACAAACGCTGATCGCGCGCAAGTTGTCTCCCGCGAGTTTGTCGCGTCCGCGGAAATCCACAGGTCGCTGTGGCGATGGAAAAAAATCTGTGATTCAACGATCGCAGAACGAAGACGCATCCTTGTCGCGAACTCGAGCGTCCATCACTGGCAGCTAGGAAAAGCCATTGCTGTCTGTAAATAATTTTTGGGGATAATTTCCGTGATGATAATTTTTAGTTTTACCGATTGACAATTTTAAGATAAAAACGTTGATACAGATGTAAGTTCAATTTTTTTTTCGTACAATTTTCATTACGCTTTGGCATTATAATTTTTTCTCGAATTTTTTAATCCCATCACGACGAACCATTGAATTAAGATTTTAATTAAAATTCAGCAATCTTCGGAGAACTTTCCTCGTGCACTTCTATATCGATACATTTTTTTTTTTTTCCATAATTTCATAAATTTTCACGACACTGCGCGAACATTCAAACGTACACCGTGCGGATTCGACCTTACACGCAGAAAAAAAGAACGTAGGAACGGGAGAGAAAAAATGAGTGGAAACGATAATTCATCCCAGTGGGAGAGGCGAAAAAAAAAACATTAGGTCCGCAATAATTTTTCATTAGCGCACACAGAGCGAGGAAAAGTAGCGGTAACGGCGCGCGCAAACATACATAGTACGTATATGTATATGGCAACAGCAGCAGCAGCAGCAGCAGCAGCAGCAACAAAAAGCCACAAAGTTCAAAATTACGTCGACGAGATACTTAACAAGGTTATATATAACGACGCGCGACCGCGACCGGCTACGTACAGTGCGCGTATAGCGCAACCGGCCAACATTTTTGCTCCGAACCCGGCGCGCGCACTGCACACACGTCGTTGCGGACATTTCGCGTATGTTCGCCGGCAAATTATATTTTCCGCGAAAATATTCGGACGCGCGAATTCGCGTGAATTGATGATGAAAAAAGGATGCTCGCACCCGAGCTTTTGACCGCGCGCAGTCGATTTTGCCGCTTTTGGTAGAGTAATTATCGCGAGGATTATATAGTCGATGCGTTAAACTAAAGTTTCGAAAACTACGTCACAAAGGAAATGCACTACGTGTGTAAACGCGGTTGGGCCGAGGCTGCGGCATACGATATCATCGAGCCAATGAGCGCAACATTGATTCAGTAATTCAGTAATTTCGAATATGTGTGCGCAGATATGAAGTATACTTTTGTATACTTATTTTGCATGCATTCTTTACTGCAAAACGTTCCCATGGCCGAATTGCCTTCATACATCGTTGGTCTAAACTTTTCAATACTTACGACGGCGAATTCAAATTGGATATAAATTTCCTGATGTCTAGAAGGGTCGATAAAATTGTCCAAAAAAAGCTAGAATTCGTTCGGCATTTCCAAGTGATCTTGAATTACTTAAATTCAAAAAGGATCAATAAATAGATCTTGAACAGCTGCGAGATTTTTTTGATAAATTGACTAAATAAGTATAAAGGTTGTCCCCAATAATTGTATTTTTTTTTTTATATATTGACCATATGGTATGTAAGAAATATGGAACGTATATACCGTCTATACATCTATTGAATATATTTTTATTCATTACAATACCTTCACATACGACTTTTAGTTGAGCGAAACAAGTTTACACATTTTCTAGTGCTCTGTTGCATATACATTTGTTAAAACTTTGACTTTAACTGAAATCAGGATCTACAGTTTATATATTTACATTATAAATGTCACATGGTTGATTATAGACTAAAATCAATAATTACATAAAAGCTAATTAATCGTTTTTTAAATTATAGCTTGGCAAAGTTATCTATTATTTATACAGTACAACATTCAAATTAAGACTCGTTATTTTTCATCATAGCATCGCTGCCATAGCCCTTTTGGCCTTTAAAAAACTTTTTTCGAAATACATTATTTAATTCAAAGTGGTTTTGATCGTCGTGATCAGTTATTATGTGGTTAGTCAAGTTATCATTTGTTGCACAAACTTCTGGAAGCTCTGCTCTGAAAATACTTCCTGACTCGTATTGCATTCATAGTCTTTCTGTCCTTCGTGAACCATTCCTCGATGATTTGGCAAATGCTGATAGGTTCCAGACTCTTTTTGGCTTCCATGGATTCTTTTTTGATGAATTGACAAAGACATATTTCTCGTAAACGTCTTTTTGCACACATCGCACTCGTAGGCCCTTCGTCCTTCGTGAACTGTTCGCTCGTGTCTCATCAAATTGACCTTCTGCGTAAACGTTTTTTGACACACGTTGCAAACGTAGTCTTTTCGTCCTTGGTGAACTGTTTTTTTGTGTTCCACCATGTTGCTCCGACCAGAAAACGTTTTCCGACAAACGTCGCACTCGTAATCTCTTCGTCCTTCGTGAACTGTTCTATGGTGCACTATCAAGTGGATCTTCTGCGTAAATTTTCGCTGGCACACATCGCACTCGTAGTCTTTTTGTCCCTCATGAACTGTTTTTTGGTGTTTCCTCAAATTGCTCAATTGAGTAAACGCTTTTTGACACACGTTGCAAACGTAGTCTTTTTTTCCATCATGAACTGTTTTTTGGTGTTTCTTCAAATTGAAAGATTGAGTAAACGCTTTTTGACACACGTTGCATTCAAAGTCTTTTCGTCCTTCATGAATTGATTTTTGGTGTCTTATTAAGATAATCCTCTGCGAAAATTTTTCCTGGCATACATTGCAAACGTAGTCTTTTTGTCCCTCATGAACTGTTTTTTGGTGATTCCTCAAATTGCTCGAGCGAGAAAAAATTTTTTGGCACACGTCGCATTCGTAGTCTCTTCGTCGTTCATGAACCGATCTTTGGTGTTCCTTCAATATGTACAAACATGTATACGCTTTGTGGCACACGTTGCAAACGTAGTCTTTTTGTCCTTTGTGATCTAATTTTTTGTGTTTCACCATGTTGCTCCGATCAGAAAATGTTTTTTGACACACATTGCATACGTAGTCTTTTCGTCCTTCGTGAATTGATTTTTTGTGTTTCGCCATATCGCTCTGAACAGAAAATGTTTTTTGAAACACATCGTTTTCATAGTCCCTTCGTTTTCTGTGAACAGATTTATGATGGTTTGGTAAGTTCTTTTTCGATGCAAACGTTTGTTGGTAGACATCAAAAACGTTGTATTTTCGCTCTTTGTGAACAGTTTTATAATGTCTCGCTAAATTTCCCCAAGAAACGAATATTTCTTGACACTCGTCGCATAGGTAGTGACCTCGTCTCTCATGAACTGTTTTTTTCTCTTCGTGAACAGTTTTCTCATGGTGTGCTACATCGAATGCTCTTGCTAATGTCTTTTTGCTCACATCACTTATATAATTGTTTCGATCTTGGCCAACTGATTTTATTTGTGTACCCGGATGACCATCTCTTTCAAATTTTTCTGGTCGCAAGTCGCAAGTATAGTCATTATCTTCGATAATATCCATTATTTTTATTCTTTAATTGCTATTGATTATTTCTAAAACTTTGACCTTCGCAGCTAAAGATTCCAAAAAAAGCAAAGGCAAAATTACTTATTTTAAATGTACTTCACTCAACTGACTTTGAATATCTGATTCAGAAATATCATACTCATATTTTCGTTTGTGAGTAGTGTGTGTTTATTTATATTGAAAGTCAGAATCAATCGAATTTACAATTGTAGCGCTTGCTAAATACAATATTAGTGTCACAGATTACATTATGTGTCTTTGCTACGGACAAATAAATTAAAACTGATTTGAATCTTACAAGCTCAGTAATAAAATATTTGAAATCTATAGTTGCTAGGCCAAGCTATCATCGAATCTGTCAAAGAGCTAGTTTAACCTGTTTATGTTATAATGACCAAGGAGAGTACGTATCTAATGAATGTAATTTCGACTTTTGAGGTAGGTAGTTTGAACAATTTTATTCAACGAAGGAAATAAAACAAGGCAAAGGCCTAATGATAAAAAGAATACAAAAAAAGCCAAGATGATTTTGTAGAATCAGACTGCGATTCATTAGGACAGTTTTTGATCGATGCTCGTGTGCAGGTATAAGATGCCTCGCGATCTCACAGTGCAGCTCGGCTTTTCCTACATCGCGAGACATTTTTGCTATGAACATTTATAAAAGCGTCGGTTTGTTATAAAGCTGATAATCGTCGCATGATTTTTCAGAATCACCACAGCCGGTTGAGTTTGTACTCATCCGCGTAAAAAAATTCAATACGTCCAAGACCAAGTTTGGCCAACTCGACGAGCTAAGCACAAATTTGGCCAAAGTTTAGCGCGTTAAATTTTTTTACGTGAAAAGCAATCTTGAATCGAGTGGAATAAAAGGAAAGAGTAAGATTGTTTAAAAAAAATAGAGGAATCTTAAAAGTAACATTTGAGATTTAAGAAATATATATTTTATAAATATATTGTTATTTATTAGAAATACATTTATACATAAATTTTAGTTGCGTGAAACTAATTTACAAATTACGAGTGCACTATAAATAAATTAAAAATCTTACTTATACTGGCATCTTGCGCCATAGTTTATATATTTAAATTATATAAATGTCACGTAATCGATTCTAGATCAATATTTATATATCAAATAATTCATCGTTTTTAAATGTTGCATTAAAATTGTCAAAGTTAATCATTGTTCATATGATACAAAAATCAAAATATGACTCGTTGCTTTTTTACATAACATCGCTGCCATAACCTTTATGACCTTTACAAAACTTTTTTCGAAATACATTATGTAATTCGAAGTGGTTTTGTTCGTCGTGATCAGTTACTTTGTGGTTAGACAAGCTATTTATTGCCGTACATACTTCTGGAACATATCTTATTTGTTCATCTTGAACTATGTTTTCAAGTTTCTTCACGTTGCTCTGCTCTGAAAATACTTCCTGACTCGTGTTGCATTCATAGTTTTTCTGTCCTTCGTGAACCATTCCTTGATGATTTGGCAAATTCTGATAGGTTCCAGACTCTTTTTGGCTTCCATGGATTCTATTTTGATGAATTGACAAAGACATACCTGTCGTAAACATTTTTTGACCCACGTCGTATTCGTAGTTTTTCTTTTCTTTGTGAATTACTCTGAAATGACGTTTCAATTCCTGTTTTGACCCAAAATTTTTTTTGCACACGTCGCAAACGTAGTCCTTTTGTCCTTTGTGAACTATTTTCTCGTGTCTTATCAAGTTGACCTTCTGCGTAAATTTTCCCTGGCATACATTGCAAACGTAGTCTTTTCGTCCTACGTGAACTGTTTTTTTGTGTTTCACCATGTTGCTCGATTGAGTAAACGCTTTTTGACACACGTTGCAAACGTAGTCTTTTTTTCCATCATGAACTGTTTTTTGGTGTTTCCTCAAATTGCCAGATTGAGTAAACGCTTTTTGACACACATTGCAAACGTAGTCATTTTGTCCTTGGTGAACTTTTCTTTTGTGTTTCACCATGTTGCTCCGATCACAAAACGTTTTTCGGCACACGTCACACTCGTAGTCCATTCGTTCTTCGTGAATTAATCTTTGGTGTGTCTTTAATATATACAAACGTGAAAATGCCTTTTGACACACGTTGCATTCAAAGTCTTTTCGTCCTTCATGAATTGATTGTTGGTGTCTTATTAAGACGATCTTCTGCGTAAATTTTTGCTGGCATACATTGCAAATGTAGTCTTTTTGTCCCTCATGAACTGTTTTTTGATGATTTCTCAAATTGCTCGAACAAGAATAAAGTTTTTGGCACACTTCGCATTCGTAGTCTCTGCGTCGTTCATGAACCGATTTTTGGTGTTCCTTCAATACGTACAAACGTGTAAACGCTGCGTGGCACACGTCACAAACGTAGTCCTTTCTCTTTTCGTGAACAGTTTTATAATGTTTGACTAAATTTTGCCTAGAAATAAATATTCCTTGACATACGTCACATACGTAGTCTTTTTTTTCTATGTGAACGATTTTGTTCAGATGTGTTACTGGTGCTCTCGTCAATGTTTTTTTGCTCACATGAAGTAGATAATTTCTTTGTCTTTGGTGAACTGATTTAAATTGTTTAGCCGAATGATCTTCTTTTTCGAATGTTTGTCCCAAGTCGCAATCATAATCATTATCATTGATCTTATCCATTATTGTTGTTCTTCGATGACATCTCTTGAATATTTTACAACGTTTACCTTCATAACTAAGATTCCAAGAAATTTTGTGCACGTTGGGTTAAAAGTCAAAATTACTTATTTGAAACGTATTTCTCTCGACTAACTTTAAATAACTGATTCAAAAATATCATACTTATGTTTTCGTTTGTAAGAAGTATCTGTATTTGTTTATATGGAAAGTCAGAATCAATCGAATAGACAATTGCGTCTTTTACTGATGGCTATTAGTATATATAAGGGTCAAAATAATACTTTTTTAAATTTTCGTTCGCACGTATGATATCGCAAGAACTGATCCAGATCTAGCATACCTCAGTTAAGACAAACTTAAGGGTGTATTTCATTTGTCTCTTCATTCCGTATCACTTTTTTTTTTTACATGTGAGTGAGCATAATTTAACCAATAAATTAAAAATTTTTCTCAAAATTTTCTTTGTAAAGCACTAAAAGGAATGAAAATGAACATTTGCTGTATCTAGTGGCCCAAGTTTAGTGCGTTGAAGTTTTCATTACGCAAGAAGCGATCTTGAATTGCATGCAATAAGAAGATAAGAATTAGAAAAAATTATATAATAATTAAGAGGAGTAAAAAAAATCACGTGGAATGTTCATGAATATATTTTATGATTATATTTTAATCCTTTTCATTACAATATATTTGTACATGCGTTTCAGTTGCGCTAGACAAGTTTTCACTTCTTTTGATGCCCTACTGCGTAATTGTTTTGACTCATACTTAAATCTGCGGCATATTTACATCATGAATGTCACGTAGCCAAAAAAAATATGAACATTTCAACGAATTCATCGTATTTAAATGTTGCATTACAATTGTGAAAGTTAATTATTCTTCATAGAATAAGACAATCAAATTAAGGCTCGTTGCTTTTTAATAAAACATCACTGCCATAGCCCTTTTGGCCTTTACAAAACTTTTTTCGAAATACATTATGTAATTCGAAGTGGTTTTGTTCGTCGTCATCAGTTATTATGTGGTTAGTCAAATCGTATTTTGACGTACATACTTCTGGCAAATATTTTATCTGTTCAACTTGAACTAATTTTTGGTGTTCCTTCACGTTGCTTTGCTCTGAAAATACTTCCTGACTCGCGTTGCATTCATAGCCTTTTTGTCCTTCGTGAACTATTTTGCGAGTATCTGGCAAATGCCGATTGCTTGCAGATTCTTTTTGGCTTCCATGAACTCTTTTTTGATGAACTGACAAGGACATCCTTTTCGTGAACGTTTTCTTGCAAACGTCGCACTCGTAATCTCTTAGTCCTTCGTGAACTGTTCTACGGTGCACTGTCAAGTTGATCTTCTGCGTAAATTTTCGCTGGCACACATCGCACTCGTAGTCTTTTTGTCCCTCATGAATTGTTTTTTGGTGTTTCCTCAAATTGCTCAATTTAGTAAACGCTTTTTGACACACGTTGCAAACGTGGTCTTTTCGTCCTTCGTGAACTATTTTTTTGTGTTTCACCATGTTGCTCCGTTAAGAAAATGTTTTTTGACACACATTGCAAACGTAGTCTTTTTGTCCTTGGTGAACTTTTCTTTTGTGTTTCACCATGTTGTTCCGATCACAAAACGTTATTCGGCACACGTGACACTCGTAGTCCATTCGTTCTTCGTGAATTAATCTTTGGTGTCTCTTTAATATATAAAAACGTGAAAATGCCTTTTGACACACGTTGCATTCAAAGTCTTTTCGTCCTTCATGAATTGATTTTTGGTGTCTTATTAAGATAATCCTCTGCGAAAATTTTTCCTGGCATACGTTGCAAAGGTAGTCTTTTTGTCCCTCATGAACTGTTTTTTGGTGATTCCTCAAATTGCTCGAGCGAGAAAAAATTTTGTGGCACACGTCGCATTCGTAGTCTCTTCGTCGTTCATGAACCGATCTTTGGTGTTCCTTCAATACGTACAAACATGTATACGCTTTGTGGCACACGTTGCAAACGTAGTCTTTTTGTCCTTTGTGAACTAATTTTTTGTGTTTCACCATGTTGCTCCGATCAGAAAATGTTTTTTGACACACATCGCATACGTAGTCTTTTCGTCCTTCGTGAATTGATTTTTTGTGTTTCGCCATATCGCTCTGAACAGAAAATGTTTTTTGAAACACATCGTTTTCATAGTCCCTTCGTTTTCTGTGAACAGATTTATGATGGTTTGGTGAGCTCTTTTTCGTTGCAAACGTTTTTTGGTAGACATCAAAAACGTTGTATTTTCGCTCTTTGTGAACAGTTTTATAATGTCTCGCTAAATTTACCCAAGAAACGAATATTTCTTGACACTCGTCGCATAGGTAGTGACCTCGTCTTTCATGAACGGTTTTTTTCTCTCCGTGAACAGTTTTCTCATGGTGTGCTACATCGAATGCTCTTGCAAATGTCTTTTTGCTCACATCGCTTAAATAATTGTTTCGATCTTGGCCAACTGATTTCATTTGTGTACCCGGATGATCATCTCTTTCAAATTTTTGTGGTCGCAAGTCGCAAGTATAGTCATTATCTTCGATAATATCCATTATTTTTATTCTTTAATTGCTATTGAATATTTCTACAACTTTGACCTTCGCAGCTAAAGATTCCAAAAAAATCAAAGGCAAAATTACTTATTTTAAATGTACTTCACTCAACTGACTTTGAATATCTGATTCAGAAATATCATACTCATATTTTCGTTTGTGAGTAGTGTTTGTGTTTATTTATATTGAAAGTCAGAATCAATCGAATTTACAATTGTACCGCTTGCTAAATACAATATTAGTGTCACAGACTACATTATGTGTCTTTGCTACGGACAAATAAATTAAAACTGATTTGAATTTCACGAGTTCAATAATAAAATATTTGAAATCTATTGTTGCTAGGCCAAGCTATCATCGAATCTGTCAAACAGCTAGTTTAAGCTGTTTTATAATGACCAAGGAGAGTACGTATTTAATGAATGTAATTTCGACTTTTGAGGTAGGTAGTTTGAACAATTTTATTCAACGAAGGAAATAAAACAAGGCAAAGGCCTAATGATAAAAAGAATACAAAAAAAGCCAAGATGATTTTGTAGAATCAGACTGCGATTCATTAGGACAGTTTTTGATCGATGCTCGTGTGCAGGTATAAGATGCCTCGCGATCTCACAGTGCAGCTCGGCTTTTCCTACATCACGAGATATTTTTGCTATGAACATTTATAAAAGCGTCGGTTTGTTATAAAGCTGATAATCGTCGCATGATTTTTCAGAATCACCACAGCCGGTTGAGTTTGTACTAATCCGCGTAAAAAAATTCAATACGTCCAAGACCAAGTTTGGCCAACTCGACGAGCTAAGCACAAATTTGGCCAAAGTTTAGCGCGTTAAATTTTTTTACGTGAAAAGCAATCTTGAATCGAGTGGAATAAAAGGAAAGAATAAGATTGTTTAAAAAAAATAGAGGAATATTAAAAGTAACATTTAAGATTTAAGAAATATATATTTTATAAATATGTTGTTATTTATTAGAAATACATTTATACATAAATTTTAGTTGCGTGAAACTAATTTACAAATTACGAGTGCACTATAAATAAGTTAAAAATCTTACTTATACTGGCATCTTGCGCCATAGTTTATATATTTAAATTATATAAATGGCACGTAGTCGTTTCTAGATCAATATTTATATATCAAATAATTCATCGTTTTTAAATGTTGCATTAAAATTGTCAAAGTTAACTATATTATTCTATGATACAAAAATCAAATTAAGACTCGTTGCTTTTTAACATAACATCGCTGCGATAACCTTTTTGGCCTTTACAAAACTTTTTTCGAAATACATTATGTAATTCGAAGTAATTTTGTTCGTTGTCATCAGTTATTTTGTGGTTAATCAAGTTATCTTTTTCCGTACATACATCTAAAACATATTTTATTTGTTCTTCATGAACTATTTTTTCATGTTCCTCCACGTTGCTCTGCTCTGGAAATACTTCCTGACTCGTGTTGCATTCATAGCCTTTTTGTCCTTCGCGAACCATTTCTCGATGATCTACCAAATGCTGATAGGTTCCAGACTCTTTTTGGCTTCCATGGATTCTTTTTTGATGAATTGACAAAGACATATTTCTCGTAAACGTCTTTTTGCACACATCGCACTCGTAGGCCCTTCGTCCTTCGTGAACTGTTCGCTCGTGTCTCATCAAATTGACCTTCTGCGTAAACGCTTTTTGACACACATTGCAAACGTAGTCTTTTCGCCCCTCATGAACTGATTTTTTGTGTTTCACCATATCGCTCTGAACAGAAAAGTTTTTTTGACACACGTTGCAAACGTAGTCTTTTCGTCCTTCGTGAACTATTTTTTTGTGTTTCACCATGTTGCTCCGACCAGAAAACGTTTTCCGACACACGTCACACTCGTAGTCCCTTCGTCCTTCGTGAACTTTTCTTTTGTGTTTCACCATGTTGCTCCGATCACAAAACGTTTTTCGGCACACGTCACACTCGTAGTCCATTCGTTCTTCGTGAATTAATCTTTGGTGTCTCTTTAATATATACAAACGAGAAAATGCCTTTTGACACACGTTGCAAACGTAGTCTTTTCGTCCTTCATGAACTATTTTTTTGTGTTTCACCATGTTGCTCCGATAAGAAAATGTTTTTTGACACGCGTTACAAACGTAGTCTTTTCGCCCCTCATGAACTGATTTTTTGTGTTTCACCATATCGCTCTGAACAGAAAAGTTTTTTTGACACACGTTGCAAACGTAGTCTTTTCGTCCTTCGTGAACTATTTTTTTGTGTTTCACCATGTTGCTCCGATAAGAAAATGTTTTTTGACACACGTTGCAAACGTAGTCTTTTCGTCCTTGGTGAACTGTTTTTTTGTGTTCCACCATGTTGCTCCGACCAGAAAACGTTTTCCGACACACGTCACACTCGTAGTCCCTTCGTCCTTCGTGAACTATTTTTTTGTGTTTCACCATGTTGCTTCGAAAAGAAAATGTTTTTTGACACACATTGCATTCGAAGTCTTTTCGTCCTTCATGAATTAATTTTTGGTGTCTTATTAAGGCGATTTTCTGCGTAAATTTTCGCTGGCCCACATCGCACTCGTAGTCTTTATGTCCCTCATGAACTGTTTTATGGTGTCTCCTCAAATTGCTCGATTTACTAAACGCTTTTTGACACACGTCGCATACGTAATCTTTTCGTCCTTCATGAACTGATCTTTGGTGCTCCTCCAAACAGCCCAAACGTGTAAACGCTTTGCGGCACACGTCACAAACATAGTCTTTTCTCTTTTCGTGAACAGTTTTGTTAAGATGTGTTGCATCTGATGCTCTGATGCTCGCAAATGTTTTTTTGCTCACATTGCCCAAATAATTTTTTCGTCTTTGGTGAACTGTTTTTATTTGTGTAACCGAACGATCTTCTCTTTCGAATGTTTTTGGTCCCAAGGTGAAATCATAGTCATTTTCTTTGATTATGTCCATTTTTGTTGTTCCTCAAACTCTATTAAATATTTTACTACGTTAACTTACACAATTGAAAATTCCAAAAATTTCGTGACTGTGCGATTAAAAGTCAAAATTACTTATTCGAAATGTACCTCTCTCCACTGACTGTAAATAACTGATTCAAAAATATGATACTTCTGTGTTTGTTTACAACGAAAGATAGAATCAATCGAATTGACAATTTTGTTGTATGTCGTCGACGGCTATTAGTATACATAGACAAATAAATTAAAATCAATGTGAATCTTATCGTAGATTCCTCTTGACTTTGAGTTGTATGCAGATTTATAGAATCATGAGTAATCACTTTTTCCATTTTCTGCAATCTTTCATCAATATTATAGTAAAAGTTTTATAATTTTACAAAAATATAGACTTGTTACATCACTCAAGATCTGATGCAAATCCAGCAGATTTCAGATAAAACAAACGCCAAGGGTGGATTTTGTTTGCCTTTTCATAACGTATGCTACAACTGAGTGAATATGATTCAACCAATAAATAGATTATTTTTATTGTAAAGCGCTAAAAAGAATTAAACTTTTAGGAAAACAGTTTCTTGGGATACTTTTAATTTTTTATATTTTATAGCGCATTTTACGATTTTTAAGAGTAGCTCGAATTAAGTCGTTCTAGTTACTACCAATTGCATATCAAGATGTCTGACATTCTCGAAATAAATTAGTAATTAAACCAAAAATACTATTCGTTAGAAAAATGCTACAGATTGTGAATAACTGTCGAGTCGGCAGCTATTTGTTTTATTATCATTGAGCTTTATTGGACTTATACATCAATCAAACCGTTCAATTCCTTCATCGAGATTACATTTCGACCCACAAGCACGAGCAAGTAGATTCGCAGCGTCGGGAAAATATTTTAGAGACCTAGAGAAACTTTTGCACATTAGCCTGTGTCAGAAGTGAAAAGTTCTCCTTTCTGAACATCGACGCGCCACGCCGAGTATTTAACGTTCAAACATTTGTCCGAGCTCGCCTGTATATACGTATATAATGGACGCAATTCATTGAAACTTCTCATTTTTATACACGCGCAGTTTTACGCTTCTCGTACCTCGCTGGACTGCAAGCACATTTGGGCTGTTTTTTTTCAACCGGTCCGAAAGCTTCCTTTCATCCTTTGCTTTCGGTGCAATTCAAAATAAAGCCAACACTCGTTTCACCTCGTCTCTCAATCCTATACCTTTTTTTTCGTCTGTGCTTCGTCAATCGCGTTTTTCTCACTTTGAACGCATTTCTCTTTCCCGCTGCGCGCTATCCTCTCTATCTCTCGCTCTCTTTTAGTTGTTGTCACGGACCCGAGAATTAATCAAAAGAATCGATCGAAGTAAAAGGTATGCGCGATACCATTTATCTTCGTTCGGTTCGACTATCCCACTAAACCGAACTGCTCAATTTGTACACAAAACAAGAAGCTGTAGCTTTAAACACACGGAGAGCACACAATAATTTCTTTGTTCCAGGGATCGCTCATGAAAATAATCATTAACTCTTCTTTTACTTATTTTCTGCATATAAAGGGTGTGGTATCAAATAGCTGATGAAGTATAAAAAAAATTGTAAAAAAATTATTTGAAAAAAAATTATTTATTAACAATAAACTTTTTTAGGTCATAAAGTTTGACGTGATATAACCCATACACAGTGTATACTAGGACAAATCATAAGCTCAATTCATGAAGTGTTCAATAATTTATAATTTCTTTGTAATAAGATACAATTCAAAGAAAATGGCTAATTGTTTATCACGCCGGACATCATGGTATAATTTCTCCAATAATAAATGATAAGTTTAGAGTGTCTCTGTTGACATAAATTTTCTCAAACTTTCATTTCACGATTTGTACATATGATTACATGTATAAGTTACCTAGTTCGATGTGTAACATCATTACAGAACAATTAGTCGTTGATCAAGTTCCGAGTGATAAACATGGACTTCAGTGATGTATATAACTCTGATGTCAGGTAATTTTTGTTTCGTGAGAATGAAATTTAAAAAAAAATGGCATAATACTTTATATTATTGGGAATATTGCAGAGTGAAGGAGGAACCAAATGATGTTTCCCCAATTGAAAATGAAGATTATATGATAATTGACAATGCATGCGATGCTAAAAACGACGCATTCTCGAGTTTTTGTCGAGAAAATTTAGTAAGTGTTGATGTGAGACTGTTTAGTCAATATTTTTAACAAGTATTTTTACTTATATCAATTACAGATTCATGAGCTTCGAGAATATGATGAAAATTCTGGACCTAAAAACGATTTGGAAATAGAATTCGAATGTAAGGACGAGAAGCTCGACATTAACTTATTAGTAGTCAAAAAGATCGAGGACGATTATCCAGATCATTTGCAACATATCAAAAAAAGGTGCGATTATCAGACTTCAAAGAAAATTAAAGAAGAAATTGTCGACGAAGTAAAAGAGGAATTTAATTTGGACGGTGCACTCAGTGATGCATTAAATGCAAAGAAAAAAACATTTGCTCAAAAAAGTCTATGCGAAACCCAAAATGATAAAGTACGCAATCGTACCAAATATCCATGTAATATATGCGGTAAAAAATTTACACGAAAAGGTAGTCTTAAGGTCCACATCGATTCAGTTCATAGTGACCTCAAGCATATGTGTGTGACATGTGGAAAGACATTCACACAAAAAGGTACTCTCAAAATTCACATCGATGGGATTCATAATGATATGGCACCAACTTGCGAAGTATGCGGGAAGAAATTCTTAACTGAAGCTGTACTCAAGATCCATATCGATGGAGTACATAATGGTGTTAAACATGCGTGTGGTGTATGTGGAAAAACATTCACACAAAAAGGAGATCTCAAGAGGCATATCGAGGGACATAATGGTGTTAAACATACATGTGTTACGTGTGGAAAGTCATTCATACAAAAAAAAAATCTCAAAATGCACATCGATGCGATGCATAATGGTATGGCACCTACTTGCGAAATGTGCGGAAAGAAATTTCAAACGAAGGCTAAACTCAAGATTCACATCGATTCAGTACATAATGGTGTTAAACATGCGTGTGGTGTATGTGGAAAGACATTCGCCCAAAAAGGAGATCTCAAAATTCACATCGATGCAATTCATAATGGTATTAAACATGAGTGCGTTACATGTGGAAAGACATTCACACAAAAAGGTATACTCAAAATCCACATTGATGCGATGCATAAAGGTACGGGACCTACTTGCGAAGTCTGCGGAAAGAAATTCTCAACAAAGACTAAACTCAAACTCCACATGGATGCAGTGCATAATAAGATAACTCACGCATGTGATACATGTAGCAAAATATTTACGCTGAAAGATAATCTTAAGAAACACATCGATGCTATGCATAAAGGTCAGGCCCCAACATGCGAAGTGTGCGGAAAGACATTCTCACTAAAGGGTAATCTTAAAAGACACATGAATTTGATGCATAATAAGATAACTTACGTTTGTAATACGTGTGGCAAGACATTTTCACAAAAGGATAGTCTTATAATTCACATTAGAACACAGCATGGAGATATTAATCACGTAAGTGTTTAATATGCGGAAAAAAATTTACACATAGGAGATATCTACACATGCACGTCAAATGTATGCACGATGTCAATACCCAAGCACGAGATCAATGCAAAAGATCTTAGAACGAACCTATCAATACCGCGCAAAATGATTAAACATCGAGACAAATGAGTGGTTATAAAACTGTCATAGAGATAGCTCATCACTCACGCATTACCACCCAATAATAAATGTATTAAATGTACATTGAAATTTTGTAAAAAACAATTACTATTATATTTTGGATCACTTCTACGTTTTCCGTCTGACTGCTCAAGAAACGATTAGGTTTTAAATAAATTAATAAACTTTTTACTACCAAAGAAAAACATGATGTTTCATTTCAATCAATTTATCTATAATTTTTATCAATCTGTACAGTTTTGTTAAACATACAAATCATGAAATGAGGATTTTTGCAGAAGATGTATCTTGCATAAAATGTCAAGTTAATTATTCATAATCGCTAGTTTTTTTTAATAATAAATGAAGTATAACGCTGAGCACTTAAACACACACAGACACAGACACACATCTAATCTGTCCTGTATGAATTAATATATGTTATATACTATACTCTGGCCTAAAAAGCAAAAAGCTGCGTCCACCCCTAGTGAGCACCGACTTATATTATATAACGGCGTAATATTGATTATTATTAAAACATCAGCAGCGACGATCTATATGTACTATACGTCCCAAAGAGCAGGTATATACAATGTATGTATACATACATGTATACTCTTTTCTATTTATTACACTATTTATTACACTAGTGGCAACCGACTGAATGTTAAATAACAAAATAGCATATTATATCAGTGTAATATTTGTTTCAGCCTTATGAAATTAATGCTTCAATGAGTATCACAATAAATCTATATTTCAATGAGTTTTTTGTGCATGAGTTATCGCAGTTAGAGTAAAACATCAAAAATTAGCAATATCGAATGTATACGAAAATAGTTATTTATGTAACAAGTGCCCAAAAGGCGGTTTTGGGCACGAGTGTGCGGAAAAAAACACGAGTGCTGGCTATGCCGGCACGAGTGGGTGATTTTTCCGCACACTGTGCGCAAAAAGCTGGGCACGTGTTGCATACAAAATTTTATGCAATAATAGGCGAATAATACGTTCATTTAAATGAGGCATTTTACCGCACACCCGAGTCCAAAATGGGGCATTTTACCGCACACAGAGGTCCAAAAACGCTTTTTGCGCACTAAAAAATGTGCGAAAAAAGACATTTTATGCAATAGTATGACGAAAAACGTCTTTTTTCGCACATTTTTTAGTGCGCAAAAAGCGTTTTTGGACACTCGTGTGCGGTAAAATGTCTCATTTTGGACACGGGTGTGCGGTAAAACGTCTCATTTAAATGAAAGTACTTTTCGTCTACTATTGCATAAAATTTTGTATGCAACACGTGCCCAGCTTTTTGCGCACAGTGTGCGGAAAAAAACACCCACTCGTGCCCAAAAACGCCTTTTGGGTACTTGTTACATAAATAACTAGTATTCAGTATCATCACTGTCAGCTCACGGAATTTTTATTTTGTTTTACGCGCACAACATAATGAGTTTAAAATCTACTTGGTAGACTGTGACACGACCGATGTATAGACGAACGATTACATGTACCCTAGACAGAGGCTCAGTTTAATCGTTTGCTCCGCAACATAATGTCGCAGTTGTGGACGATTGAAACATCCATTACAGTAAAGAATTTTTGAATTAAAGAATAAATTTTATGTTGATGAAGAATTAGTACTTCATTTGTCAGGCTATAAGAATTGTTGAAAAATAAATTAGGTTCCTACAGAGGTGCAAACCGAATTTTGATCGTGCGTTTTATTTCTACTTACAGTACGCTCCAATTTTTATTCGCTGCCCAGTTAAGACCGTTGATTTTTGAAAAATCGGAAAATTAAAATCAAAGCATTATTCGAATAAGATTTTGGAAAGTACTTAGAGGGGTGATATTTTTCATAAATGGTTTTTTCAATAAAAAATTATTGTTACTAACTATCACGTCCCTCTTGGTAGAAATAATCAGTGCCCGTCTGTTTATCAAAATCTTTCAGTAGGCTGCGTTTGATCGAATTAGGTTCACCTATCATTACCCGTCGTTTATATAAAATCCAGTATTCAACTAAACGTCCAAACAAGATTTCAGAAAATTTTTTTAGAGTAGTAATTAGCAGTCGTTTGGTTAAAAATTAAACCCCCAACCACGACAGTGAACGAAGGGGTATTAATAGATGATAGCACGAAGTTCAAATAAGACACAATCATGTTAAAATACTTTTTTTTTCAATTACTTTTTATAAAAGCTTGTACTTGAACATCTATATAAGTTTCTATATTCATTTACAATTGTCAAGAAAAGAATTTGTGCGTTATATTATTTCAATGATGACATACATAATGTGCTATTTTCTGAGGAACTGCAATAAGTTCGAGAAATTTGCATAAGCAAAAAATTATTGTTAATGACTGGATTATCATCTGACGTGAACTTGAATGCAATTGCACATATCTTCGATTATGAGAAAAAAACGTATTTATCATATACGTAATGTTGTAAAAATCGTCCGATGGGTAGTTTTAGAAAATTTTATAAACTGTTTTTCGGTATCAACTTAAATTCGATGGAGGTACACAAAATCTTAATGATTTTTGTGGACGATCATTTGGCGCGTCGAAAAATCTGATTTACGTCCAAATTTTTTCTCGCACTTTCTATCGCAGGGTAATTTTAGCGACCTTTGTGTATTGACTTTTGGTGTCTAAGCAAATTCGATATATTTCCAAATACCTTCTCGCATTTGTCACACGCAAAATCTTTGCGATTTTCGTGTACTGTCTTTTGGTGAAAAAGCAAACATGATTTTCGTCCAAATTTTTTTTCGCATCTGTTACATGCAAAATCTCTACGACCTTCGTGGACTGTCTTTTGGTGCCGAAACAAATCTGCTTTGAGTCCAAATTTCCTCTCGCATTTATCGCATGCGTAATCTTTGCAGCCTTCGTGGATTATCTTTTGATGTGTCTTCAAATTGCTTTGATTCCCATATTTCTTCCCGCATTTGTCACATGCGAAATCTTTCCGACCTTCATGGACTGTCTTTTGATGCCAAAGCAAATAATTTTTGTGTGAAAATTTCTTCTCGCATCTGTCACAAGCATAATCTTTCCGACCTTCGTGTATTTCCCTTTGGTGTCTGAGCAAATTAGATTTCGTTCCGTATTTTTTTTCGCACTTGTCACATGCGTAATCTTTACGGCCCTCATGGACTGTTGTTATGTGCATCAGCAAATGAGATTTTTTTCCAAATTTTCTCTCGCAATCGTCACATACGTAATCTTTGCAGACTTTGAAGG